CATTTTTCAATAAGATAATATTACACGTAAACGCAAAACGTTTCCTTATTTTTAATCACACATTCTTCATCAATCTACTATTGTAAAATGCAATCGTAACAAAAAAAAAAAAAAAGAGAGGCTCAAACAGGCGCTTGTACACAAAATTGGTAGAGAAATAAAATAATCAAATTAGAGAAGAAAAAATCAAGAAAAAAGAGAATGCAAATCGTATCTCACATATATTTTTTTACAATTTGTAGATAATGAGAAAACAAGGCAATATGGCACGTGTGTCAAACACCAGTAACTCGCCATTATCCCTACTCACCGAGTCGTACCTATCTCGCCCTTCTAGCACCGAGTCAAACCCGAGTTGCTTCCCAATCCGGCCAGCTACAACTCGGCATACTAACATGGCCCGCCTTCCGCTGCCACCACCGGCACTCTCATGAGCCTCACCACTCCCCGAAAATGTACAAATCGCCGCGCCTTTCCAGCTGTTAAATGACCAAGCGCCACCACCCGAATCATACGCTCCGCCATTGGTGGGTCCCAAGCAGAAGAACCTCATCACTTCATTCCCATCAGCAACGCAACGCGCATGGTCATCACCGACGGCTTCACCACATCCAGAACTTGCCTTGGATTTCACCATCTCTCTATACTCCTCAAACCGGGTCACAGTCCGGGCCAAATTCTGCACTTTAAAAATCGTTTCAATCTCACCAGAGAAATTCTTCGGCCCCCAACTTGTATGAAAGATAATCTCCACCACATTACGTGAAGCGTACCCCACCGGAAGCTCAGTGAGGGAAGGAAAAAACGAATCTTTAACATGCGAATGCAGGGTAGAGACGGTGGTGCGTGTTCTATTGGTGGTATGGTGTGCACCGGGTTCGGGCTTTCTTGAAACGGGTTTTTTGGATTTGGTTACTGTATCTTTGGTGGCGGAGTTTCTGCAGCTGGTGGAGGTCGCTAACCGGTGGTACTGGTGGTGGCGGTGAATTTTGGTGCTGTTATGGTGGTGGTTACTGCGGAGGTGGTGATTCTCAACGACGTCGTCTGATGCTTTTGTCTTGCAATTCAATGACTTCATCCATCCAGTCGCCATTAACGAACTCTTCAAGCTTTTAGCGTCCCTTCTCCTTCTCTCTTTCCAGTTCCAATCTGTGTACGCATATGTCTCTCTCTCCCTCTCTCTCTCTCTCTCTCTATATATATATATCCCTCAGTATGAGGTTTTAACGAGGTGGAAGCACGGAATGGAGACATGGCGCGATATTGAATGCGAACTTTAATGATTGTGTAGTGACGAGAATACCCTTATGAGAGATTCATTTCTCGCGTGAATTTCTCTCTCGTTCGACGTGGGATTGGTATTTTAAAAAGTGTAAAGTATAATGAGACGTAAATGCGAAGTTTCAAGCTTTACGAGTTTAGACGTAAATTTTTTTTTCTTATTTTAAATTTTTAATCATTTGATAATAAAAATAATACACATCAAATATTTAAAATTATAAAATAATATATTTACTTAATAATTCCTACTATTAGTCAATTATAAAATTTTCAAGTTTCCGAAATACAAAAATTAGAATTCCTAGCTTCAGGTTTCAATTAGAAAAAACCTACTTAATAGATTTATAGGAACTTTATACATGTTTTTGGAGTTTTTAACAAAATAATGAGTCTCAAAACCGTAATTATACAATGTAGATAGCACTATAGTTTAAACCTTATTTAACTATTTAGATAAAATCATTTTTGCCTTTTGTACAGATAAAATCTTTTAAAAACTTGAACTTAAAGTCAAATGAAATCTGTGTACGCATATGTCTCTCTCCCTCTCTCTCTCTCTCTCTCTATATATATATATATATATATATATATATAGCCCTCAGTATGAGGTTTTAACGAGGTGGAAGAACGGAATGGAGAGGACATGCCGACATGGCGCGATATTGAATGCGAACTTTAATGATTGTGTAGTGACGAGAATACCCTTATGAGAGATTCATTTCTCGCGTGAATTTCTCCCTCGTTCGACGTGGGATTGGTATTTTAGAAAGTGTAAAGTATAATGAGACGTAAATGCGAAGTTTCAAGCTTTACAAGTTTAGACATAAATTTTTTTTTCTTATTTTAAATTTTTAATCATTTGATAATAAAAATAATACACATCAAACATTTAAAATTATAAAATAATATATTTACTTAATAATTCCTACTATTAGTCAATTATAAAATTTTCAAGTTTCCGAAATATAAAAAATTAGAATTCCTAGCTTCAGGTTTCAATTAGATAAAACCTACTTAATAAATTTATAGGAACTTTATACATGTTTTTGGAGTTTTCAACAAAATAACGAGTCTCAAAACCGTAATTATACAATGTAGATAGCACTATAGTTTAAACCTTATTTAACTATTTAGATAAAATCATTTTTAACTTTTGTACGGATAAAATCATCTAAAAAATTGAAATTAAAGTCAAATGAAAAAAAATTTAAAAATAAAAAAATTAATAAACTAAAATCAAATAAAATATTTTTTAAAAAAGAAAAAAATAAAAAACTAATAAAGCGCGCATAAGGAAGACGAAAGAGAAGAAGAAAAAATTCAATCGTTTAGAAATTGGACAAAAAATGTATCTAAAAGCGAAGCAAGACATTTTACCCAAGTTTCAAGTTTAGGAGGTGAGTAGATGAGCTTTTTAGAACATTGCATAGGATACACATTTTATGAAGGTACGAATTTCATTAATGAGTCGATGAGCTTCTAATAATTTATCGGATAAATTAATGAGTCGAGCATTCCTGGTCCACCAAAAAACCGATGATTTCCTGGTCACGACCAATCATAGATAAAGATACAAGATTTCATAAACGATTGTTGCATTACATCAATAATAATAATCCTGCAAATTTTGTATTAGAAATGTTTGATTGTTTATTTTCGTATGTCTAGTATTTTATATAATTGTTCAGTAATAATAATACAATTTTTTCTTCTTTTTGATTTTTTGAAATATTTGATTTAATCATTTTGATCACCTAATTCTGTAAAACAATATCTTCAGACTTCACTACCACGCGCACCTCCCCTAAAATCTCTTCCCTTGAATGTACCTTAAATTATGCAACGATGGCATCAATTTGAATGACAATATGAAAATGAACGAGGTGATGGTGAAGAAAGGAATGTGAGGGAACAAGAGATGGAAAACATGAAGTGATAAGGAAAGTGATGACTGATATTGTAACAGGTGCGAACCACTTATCGACCGACTTGCATCAGGTATGTGTCTTGGCTCACTTCTTAGGCGAGTCGTAGGACAAATCGATCAAGTCAAAAAATCCTATGCTTGTTAGCTCACGAGATCAATGTGTGAGCTATACAAGTTGGCTCATTATGTAGGCTCACAAGCTGCTCTATTTCTTGCCATAGAAGCTAAAGAGAAAAATTAATGGGACGAATCGAGCTTGAAAATTCTCAAATAATTTAGTTGACATGACCCATTGAAATCCTTGGTCACAAGTATCAGAACACGGCGGTCGGCGAGGCTGTGGGTACAAGTAGTATTGATACAAGGATACATTTGATATTGTAATGTAGGATTACTAAATTAGTTCTCCAACGTTATAAACTGATACACTCTTTATTTTAAAGAGTCGAGCTTTAAATTTAAACTCCAAGTAATTCTTTATTTTAATTTTTTTAAAATGGAAAGTCAGTTCGATTCTCTATTAGTATATATATATATATTTTTTTATCAAATTTGTATTTAATAAAATTGCAAGGTTCAATATTTCACTTATTCATACTATTGAATATTTTAGCTATTGATATCTCAAAAAAAAAAAAATAATAATAATAATTAATTGAAAAATAAAAAAAATGAACGTTGTAAAAGATAAAAGAAGGAGCTTGGTGGAGCAATTAAGATTTATTTCTCTTTGAATTTAAAAATATTCTCGATTATGACCAAGATATTCTTTATAAATAAGAAATCCCTCAGAAAATGCTCTTAGAGTTGAAAATAAATAAGTGGGGTACTAATGATAAAATTAAATGGTCATTAAATATTTAATTTGATGAGAATTAATATTCGTTTAAATTTTAATTGTAAGTCAAATCAAAACGGAGAGGTGATCATTCAATGCAAAAAAATGCTAAGAATTAACGTTTCAAAATTATTAAAATGGTCACCCAAGTTACATGTTTATTTCATGTTGGTCACTGAACTTAAATTTTATGTATATTTTATCACCAAAGTAATGTTGCCAAATGTATAATTTGGATCATGAATTCTGTTGACTAGAATGCAAATTCCACAGTTTTCGGTAAAGGTCATAGACGGAGTTGTAAAATTTAAACAAAAAGAGTTGTATGATTACATTGAAATGAATTAAACTTGAGAGATCAACATGAAACAAAATTATAAGTTGGATGACTTCAAGATAAATTTCCACATACATCCTACAAAAACGCCTTATTTTTTCAGCCGTTGATAATTGTTTTCATTACTGCCATCAATGCTTGTCTTGAAGTTTGATTGACCTATATATTATAATTTCTAATGTGCTCCATAAATTATAATAAAAGAATAATAATTGAGTTTTATTCTTACTAAATTCGACTTCAATTATGTAATATAATGGTGTTAAAATGGATCGCGGCACGGTTCAATCTAATAAAAAATAAAAAATTCGAATGGAAACGAATCTAGTTCAGTTTTTACCAATTCAACGATCATCGTAGGTTATATTGAATTGATTGTACTGCATTTCTTAACCATCCATAAGGATTAGTTTGGCTGGCTTGATTTATCGCGAAAAAGGCTAAAAAAAAAAAAGAATCACCAAAACAATTTGACCTAGTCGAAATAGACTTAAACTACAACATGCATGTACCGTCACTACCAAATTTTACTCATATATTATTTTTAGTATTTTACGAAAAATTTAATTGAGTAATTTGTAAATATATCGATGAGCATGTGCAGTGTTTTTCTTAATTAATCCTTTTGTTATTCAAGTGTGGCTTAATTTTAACGATCATGTTACATGTACCGATTTTTTTTTTTACCGAATCTTTTACTTACTACTCACAATGGGGATGAGGATCACATTGTGGAAAATTTTAAATACACGAGGGCCCGTGCATTATGTGAGAAGGGATAATCCATTATGTACAAACCGTTATGTACAAATGGATTAACCCTAATTTAAAACCGTATTAAATTATCAAAGAAAAATAAAAGTAGATTATAAGGATATGAACTGCAATATCGATGGTTAGCAGGTCAATCAATTCGGAAGATAGACCACTGGGCTCAACTGGACCATATTTTTATATAAAATAGTACAAAACTAACCGACTTACTCATTTAACACACCTAATGTAATATTTAAGCCATTTAATTCATTGTTACAAAAATTTAATTTGTACTCATTTTACACATAAAAATAACTATACAAGAAAAAAATAATCAACACAAGCAGTCATTTTACAAATAAATATACTGATAGTACTTTGGGCAATGCATAACTTTCGAAAAAAAAGAAGAAGGAAGGAATGCAGAAAGATTCAATCACTAATATCCCAATATAATATTTTCTTATCAAACTCGAGTACTCAATAGAACTAAATTCAATTTTATAGATCATTCAAAAAAATCTTTACGGACTTGAGTGCCGAAAATACTATGGGGGATTATCGCTCCTCCCTCGGGTATACTCTAATTATGCTATTAAAGGCAATCTTTTTTGGTAGCACCGAACAGAAATGAAAACAATATATTGATCGACGATAATTGATGGAGGACTATAATGCAATTTTATTAATAAAGAATTATGCAGATCCACGTGTCTAGTCAAAGAACTCAAAATCATAATCAATGTATCTATATGTATTGAAAGCTTGTTGTTTCTAACTAACTTGAATGCTATCAACCTTTTTGTTCCTTACGGAAAAAGCAAGACATCGGCTTGATAATGTGTCTTCTTGGTAAAACTGAGATTTCAAGAATGATTTCTCTCTCGAATTGAAAGATCGTTTCGCTAGGTCTGGCCATTATATATTTTCTTGGGAATTTATAATAATGGAAAA